GAAACAACCTGGGCCACAAGAGTCACACTCCACGTTTCTAGCAGCCCTGCCCTTACCACATTTTCTGCCCAGCTGTTTGGGAGGTCCTAAGACTGGAATTATGGTGCTACACTAGCAAACACAACCTTTTGCTAGTGCTTCCCCACCTCTCCCGTGGGGGTTCTACCACCTGTTGTCAAAAGAGTAAATTAATGAGTTTGGACAGGTGATCAGATACAAGTAACAGTGAATTCTCTGACTAGCACTTATAATGGGAGCTGGTTAGAGGTTTGTTACTAAACATTGTTGTCACCGTCATTGAAATTAGTACCCCCAATCTATTCAGTTTCTGGTGAATTGTCTACTTATTTTATATTGTTATCAAGGAGCCCCATGATTGATAATTCAACCAATGAATCATTTGCTATTATTAAAAGAAAAAAGCAACCAGGACACCTTTTTTTTTTTCTTTTCAGGTTTCTAAAAGTTACATATAATGCCAAATCTTCATTTACAGCTAAGAAACAAAAAATATATATATTTCTATTTCTCAAATAGAAAACATTGTGTTGCTGGGCATGGTGGGCCATGGCTTGAGACAGGAGGACTGCTGCGAATGTGAAAGACACAGTCCTTTCTTCAACTGGGTTACCAGTTTCAAGTCCATCTAGGCCACGTGACCACACAAAGAAGAAAGAAGGGGGCTGCAGAGCCGGCTGAGAGGACCGGCTGCTCTCTCAGAGGATCTGAATATGATTCCCAGCACGCTTGTGATAGCTCACAGCTGTCTGTAATTCTAGTTCAAGGGATCCAACACCCTCTTCTGTCCATGCACATGGACACAACCTTTTGCTACCACATGTAATTTGCTAATCACATGTGTACGTGATTCACAGATACACATGTAGGCGAAACTCCTACACATATAAAAAATGTTTCATTTATTTATTTTTTAAAGGGGGGGGAGAGAAGAAAAGGAGGGAAAGGGGAAAAAAAGAAGGGTGGGGCATAACATAAGTTTCTATTCCACAGTCCTAAATTCAACATTTAACCTAGTCTAGTCTCAAGCTGCCAATCCTTGTCAGTGGTCTTCCTGTCTCAATATTCCCCTAGTGCTGGAGGAAGCTTATTAATATTGACTGGCTTTGTTGTTAACCCTTAAAGTCTAATATTGATTGTCTCAAGATCAAAGAGCCAGTACAATCATCTTTCACTTTTCTCCCCATTCTATTATGAGCACAACGATCTCCTAGTACATAGACAGTTGCATGGCCAATCACAAGTACTCATAAATATGTGGTGGCTTGAGGAAACATACATCTTGAAACCGCTATATGGCAGAAAATGTTTGAGCCCTCAACTGTTCTCCACAGAGACTAATTCTTAATTACACTGGCTTTTAAGAACACTTGGACTTAGTAGGAGAAAAGAAAATTTGTAATCTAAAAATATCTATATATTGCGTCAGATTCTCAAAAGATTTCTGAACTCAAATTCTTGTCGTTCAGAATTTACACATTAACAAAACAACTACCTTTTGTTTTTACTCATGCCTTCTTACTGAAAGAACTCACCTTTGCCCCACTTTTTAAAAACTGAGGTATAATTTAGAGTTAAATAAACATATTAAGCAGTTCATTCCATCTTGTGACAAGTTATCTGTACCCATGCAGCCAAAAGTAAAATTTTCTGTAAATATTTATCTAACAAAGTCCTCTCCTGAATCTTTCTGTAATATTCCTCTACTACTGATTTCTGTAATCACACGCTCTTTTACCCAAGTTGAGAGTCATCTAGTGGATTAGAAACTCGTTCCTTTTTATTGCTGACCAGTGTACAACCTTACAAATATAACTGATTTTCCTGTTGGTAGATATCTGGGTTGCTTCCAGTTTGAAAGAATATTATAAATAAGGTGATATAAACATACACGAGCAAGACCTTATTATGTGAATGTATGTGTTCAATCTTATCCTGCTTCTAAATTATAGGCTCAAAACTTGTCCCTTGAACAAAATAACAGAAATGAAATTATTACAGGCTGGTATACTTGTGTTACCACAAAAAAATATTTTTTTGTCTTTGTGAGACAGGGTTTCTCTGTGCAGTTCTGGCTGTCCTGGAACTCACTATGTAGACAAGGCTGGCCTTGAACTCAGATCCATCTGCCTTGGCCTCCCACGTGCTGAGATCAAAGATGTGTGCCACCAAAATGCACACCAGTGAAAAATACATTATTAAAGTCTCACATTCGTTGGATTTTAAGTTAAGTTTTTTGTCAAGTTTCAGAGAAGTGAACTAATTTATGTGGGCAAAATATCATGGCTAGTTCATGAATGTAGGAATAAACTGTTTTCTGACTTTTGAATAAGAACATTTTTCCTCCTACAGTTTTATTTTTAAAGCTTTTTTTTTTAAATAAAGATTTATTTATTATTTATACAACATTATGCCTACACACCAGATCTCACTATAGATGGTTGTGAGCCACCATATGGTTGCTGGGAATTGAACTCAGGACCTTTGGAAGAACAGCAACTGTTCTTAACCTCTGAGCTACCTCTCCAGTCCCTTATAGCTTTTTAAGGTGACAAAAAAAAAAAAAAAAAAAAAAAAAAAAAAAAAACATTTTTAAGGTCAGTGTATTATTTTCCCAAGAGCAGAAATACACTAACTTATCTTAAAGGCCTTAGTCTTGAGATTTTAACAAGAAGAAAAATGGTTTCTGATAGATCAAAATTGTGAGTATTTAAATCCTATGTGTAATTTAGAATTTCCATGTTTTCTAAGAATGCAAACCCATCATGAGAGTTTAATAGAAAGAGATAATGTGAACTGAAGACTTTTTGATTAATTTTCAGAGAAGATGATGATACTTTTGGCCTTCTAAACATGTAAATGAACTTCTTAAAAGCCGTCTTCTAAGTTTTTATTCCAATGAAAATATATATGATAGAACCTACAAGTAGCTCACACAAGAAAACAAAATGTCTTTACTATTACAATCTACTCTGAAGGGGAGATTGAGTGGAGTTCAAGACTATCCTCAGCTACAGAGTTTGAAGCCAGCCTTCATCACAGGAGACCCTGACTAAAAACAAAACGAAACAGACACCAGAGTGGTTGTTATTTTTAAGACACAGTCATAACATTAAATATTTCATTATTTTAAAGTGAAAGCTACCACAAAGTTGTGGCTGAATTTCCTTAATCTCTTTATTTATAGAAGGGACTTGTAAGAAAACATGCTTGTGAAGTCCCCTAGCCACTAAACTCATACCATCTAACCTGTTTCAAGCATTCATTCATAAAAAAAAAAAATTGCAACTAACATAAATGGAGCCACAGCCGTAACCAACCAACACACATAATGCAAGTTGCCCTTCAGCAGGGTGAGAAAAACGGTTTCCCTTTTTGACTGTTAAAAACCTAACTAATGTGTATCATTAGGATGAAGTGGCAAAGCAGAACAATGCCACCAAATGATGGCACCACTCTGGCTTTGCCTAACCAGTTTAGTGAGTACACTCAAGAGGATATAATGCAAAGGGGGAAAAAAAAAACAACTGGTTTATGCAGACTTGACATTAAACTACCACAACTCACTTTGTGAAGACAATGTGCAAGATTAGTAATTGTGAGAACATTGCAGGAGGATCTCATTAAAATAGCGCTTGAGTAAAGAAACAATAAAGGAAAAGTCAATTCTTTATATGCTATAATTTTTTTTTTTTTTTAAATAAGGGAGTAGGATCAAGAGATTTTGATGTCTGTAGGGAACTGAAGATTTGGAATTTTTTTTCTTGTTACTTTTATGTCACTTGGGTGTCTACATGTTTGTTTATTAGTCAGATATTGTGCTTTCTAATCTATTTCCTACATTCTAGTGGATCTCTTAACGTTTAAAAATGTTAAAAACATACCATCTACTTAGCAGAGCAGCTGTCACGGACAGCAAAAAAATAGGTCCATTTGTGAAAGTCTGTATGATATAGTTTATCCGACCAGGAGTCTTTCTTGTTATTTTTATCCCTGAGTGGAACTAGCATCAACTGCACATCTGTTTGAGGGAAGTACTCAAGTAAAAACAAACAGCAAACAAAATAATTTCCTTGGATTAGAGCTGACACACATCTCCAAATATTCCTCACATATTTGTTATTAATTCCATCTTCTTGTTTACACAATCATTTTATTTTTCTTCCACCGGTCTTCCCATTACTGTATTTTAAGTCAGTTATCGCTAGAATGTTGCAGGCTAATCAGGCCTAGTCACCTCATAATTATCTAAATTTATGTTTGCATTAGTGGATACTCAGGACCTCAGGCTTTGCTGATTTGGTCACCAACCTACTCAGTCCGGAGAAAGGTTTAGAAAGATCTACCTCACATTGCAATGCTCCAAACTCAACACCATCTTTCAAGTATTGACCGTATTCTGCAGACTTTCACAGTCAGGATGTGCAGAACTGCGTTGTGGGAATGTTTTCATACAGGAAGGACCTTGAAATTTAGTGAATTGTGTTCTGAAATCATAGCAGCCTTGGAATACTTCTGGCTACTTTTTCTCCACCTCGACTTTCTCCAGGAACTGTAATTATGGAGGTGACCTCAAAAGCCTCCATGATGGGTGACCTCAAGCTTCCAAGAGCCGTCAGGAACGGAGGTCGCTTGTGATTTCGTTAATAAAGGCACCACACTTGCCTAACGCGGAGACTGTACTTCTCCACCACGCGCTGGGCGCCTCAGACAACCAGGGCTTAAGGTGCTTTACAATATGCACGCGGCGGTGAGCATCCGGAGGAGAACGGCTGCTAACTCAGCACCTTCCCTCCGGCAGCAACCCGCCGGGTCTCCTCGGAAAGGCACGCTCCCCGGAACCCCGGCCGCCGGCGCCGCGCAGGCGCACGCGGCTCCCGGGTCACGTGCCGAGGCCCGGCGCCCCGCCCCGCGCCCGGCTCCCCACACCCCCCCTCCCCGCGGGGCGGCGCGCGAGGACGGGATGGCCGCGGGAGGGTTACCTGTGAGGCGGGCGAAGCCGGTAATGCTGTCGGGGACAGGGAGCTGCTTGAGGTAGGCGGGCAGCTGCACCTTCACGATGCGGGCTACGCTGTCCAGGACCATGGTGCCGGCGGCGTCCGCTGCCCGGCTGCTGCGCTTGCGTGAGAGCGGAAGCGGCCGGCGGGCTGGCGGGCTCGGCCGGGAGGTGGCCCGCCAGGCCGCGATTGGCGCGCGGCGAGTGACGTGCGCGCTGCGGAGCGGAGCGGAGCGCGTGCGGAGCCGGGCCTGCCCTCGGCCCCGGTGCGGGGGTGGCGCCCGCGGCAGGCCCCCGGCGCGGCAAGCCCGGCGCTGCGCAGTGCCCGGCCCGCGGCGGCCCCTCCGTGTATGCCAGCCTTGAAACCCAAAGCTTACCCGCGGGGTTTTTTCTCCGCAGCCTTAGTTCTGCGCAAGTATCCTAAGGTGGTTTTTGTTTTTGTTAATAATAGTCCGCGGTTAGATTTTTTTTTTTTTTTCAATTCCTTCTGCGGGTCAGTTAACCAAAAACGCTTCAGCAGAGTGGCTTTTAAAAATTAAATAAAAGTTTACCTTGTGTGGTTGTTTTGTTTCTGTTTTGTAACCCAGGTTGAGGAGGCTGATAACTAGAGCCTCTGACTATCTTCATCTTCCAAATGCTGGGCATCACCACGCTTGTCTTGTGGAGTTTCTTTGTTTCAAGGGCTTCTTGTAAAATTTACAAGTTTTTGTGAAGCTTATTTTGGCTGAAGTTAGGATAGGCAAAGTCATGCACTCGTGGGATTAAGGGCTCCTTTGGACCAAGAAGTCTACGGGTAGGAAGCTAGACAGATCAGCAGGCTTGAAGGTCCCTGAGGATGGACCCCTCATTCAGTCTGCAGCTTAAAATACTAGGAACTGAAACTGCAGCTCTGACTACTGGTCACTGAAATAAATAAATAAGGTCTAGATCACATCTCTGGCCATGATGAAAACATGACATTCTAAGCTGACCAAAGATCCTAAGTTTGCAACCTGATGCTGAGGAGGGCTTTCTGTGAAGAACAAAGACATGAGCTTCCCTAAGAGTTCGTCCAAGTATGCCTGCGAAGAAAATAGGAAAGTTGTCTGTTCAACAACTGTAGAAACTTTAAATACCACAAAGCCTACTTAAAACATATCACAACATCATTGTTTCTTTGGTTGTTGTCCACCGTCACCTCATGGAATTGTTCACCTCTTTGGTCACTGCCCATTTTCACCCTACTTTACCATTAAATAAACTCTGTCTTCACTATACTGTGCCTTGTGAACATTTTTTTCGACGGATCACGAGGACTAGAAGTGAGGGGAGGCCAGAGCAAGTAAAAGTATATGAGAAAACTTCACATCATTTCTGTAACATACAGTATTTGGTATGCTAATGTGACTTCAAGCTGTAATTAATTTTATTTTTTAATTGGTATTTTAAAGTGGGGAAAAAGTAAACTGTCCGTTTAACTGTTTAAATTTAAACTTGTCATCTTTCACTAAAAACATAAAATGGAAAGTGGTGGTAATAAAAAACCTTGAAAAAATTACTGTCATTTTTAGCCAGATCAGATTGTCCAAGTACAATTGAAATCACAGACCTATGGTATAACAACTGGAATTGTGAGCTATGGTATAGCAATATAAATGATACACAAAAAAAATGATTATTTAAAAGGTTAGTGTTGCCATTAGGATTTCCATTCCTTTTGGGAGCTTGGTTCTGGTTTTTGTTGTTTTGTTTGTTTTCTCTGAAGGAAAAAATGGACCTGAAGTTGTTTGTCTTTAAAAGGATGAAATGTAAGCATTCTTACCCTCCAGACTGTTCTGGACTGTTTACTACCTTTAACCTCTGTTGAGGTATACCATCCTTGTGGAAATGGTTGAGGTAGGGAGTTGGAACTAGGGTTCGTTGAAGAATGTTTGAGAAAGGACATTGACGAGGTTTTTCTTTCAGTTCATGTTGAGAAAGGTAAAGTATGCTTTATTGAATGACAAGAGCTCCACAATGTTTCATTTAGGATAAAAAGCAGATACCTCTCTTAGAAATACAGTAAGATGTTCAAGTGCCAAATTACAATTCAGTGTACCTAGTACCTTGTCAACATTCAGGATATGTCTAATACCCAAACTCTTCCTATTACTTATAACCACTCTTGGCAATACCACCACTGCAATTGTTTTGCTTTGTATGCTTTTGAATGTTATATAAAAAGAATTTGAAGTTTGTGTTTATATGTGATTAGGTTTCCCTTAACACTATTTGTAGATACTGGTTTGATATTTTTGATGGAAGCGTATATGGCTAAAACTTTGTCTTGAAATTTAGAAAAGTATGGATCATATATCAGCTGTTTCTGTTGAACAGCAAGAGCTGTGCTAAAACAGTCCTGGGGCAAGAAAGGTGTCTCAGCAGTTAAGAGCTCTTGCTCTTCTTGAAGAGGAGCCCAGTTCACTTCTTAGAACCCACATGATAGCTGGCAACCATCCATAACTTCAGTCATGGACGATCAGACATCTTCTCTGCTAGGTGCATGTGGTGCACAGACATATAAGTATACACCTATTTTTTTTGTAATTTAAAAGATGCTTTTGACCCTAACAATCTTATTGAGAATACTTTTTTTTTTTTTAGATTCCCTTCAAAATTTACATCCTGTTTTACTTTTTTTTTTTTAATATCTTTTTAGTGCGTTTGTATTTTACCTGCATATATACCACATCCATGCCTGGTAATATGATGACCAGAGAGGGCATCAGATGCTCTGGGACTGGAGTCACAGACTGTTGTGAGCCACTGTGTGGGTGCTGGAATCAAATCCAGGTCTTCTGCAGAGCAGCCAGTGCACTTAACCACTAAGCATCTGTCCAGCCTCTCCTCTCTCTCTCCCTTTCTTAATGGTCACAGGTAATCCAGTATAATCTTGTATACACCACTACATGTGGCACATTCCAATTTTGTTTTTCATTTTAACAGCCATGCTTTATTGGGTGTAATGGCTATTTCTTAGTTGTCAACTGGACTACATCTGAAATTAACTAAAACCCAAACAACTGGATACACCTGTGAAGAATTTTCCCTTAATTAATAATATGAACTAGGAAGATCCATCTTTAATCTGGGCCACAACTTCTGCTTGTAGCCTTTATAAAGGACATGGAAGAAGGAAGCTTAATTTTTGTCTGCTTGCTCTCGCTTTCTCTGGAAAGTCCATTCCTTCATTGGCATCAGAGCCTGCTTCTTTGGAATTCCAGCATACATTGAAGCCATGCTGAGACATCCAGTTTCGTGGACTGAATAGCTGCTGCATTCCTGAACCATCCATTGGTGGATACTCATTGTTGGACTAGCTGGAGTACAGCCTATCAACCACTCTTTAAAAATCCCCTACAGATAAGTGGGTAGGAGATGAATGGATGGATGATGGACAGACTCATTCTCTAAGTTTGTTCCTCTAAAGAAGTCTAATACATTGGTTATTTATAAGACAGAACACTTGAAAATAGTATGTTAAAGAGAAGTGGCGTGCTTATCTGACTACCTTATGACAGAGCATTCAACAAATTCTGATTTTGTCATCTTTTAAAAAAAATTTAAAAAGTATTGAGACAGTTTTACATAGCTCAAAATCACATTCCTGCTACCTTTGCCTCCCAAGTGCTAGGATATGCATATACCAACTTTCCTTTTTTTACATGTATGTATGTTTGCCTGATTATTACAATATATAATATGTCAATATTTGGTATGTCTATTGAGCACTTATTTAATATTTTGGTAAGTATAAAATGCTTAAGGGATCCCCATGCAGATATGAAGAAAAATTTGTATCTATCATTCTCTCCAGCCCTTAGATGTCTTTTAAATAAACTTTTAATGGAAGCATAGCATACATATACAGAAAGATATACAGATTGCTCACCATCAATGGCAGCATAAAGAAGATAGTTATATAACCACTACATACACAACTATATTACTGTCTCTTAATTAGTACTCTTCTGTCAAGTGCCAGTATATTCTGATTTTTAAAACAAAATATTGGATTTACTACTATTTAACCTTTGTGTAAATTAAATTATATATAGTATGTTTTGTGTCTGGCTTTACTTAACATTGTGAGATTTATTCATATTAATACTTGCAGCAGTTGTAAATCTGTTTCACTGTTGTATATTTTATCAGTACAGCATAATTTATCCATATTACTGTTAGGGGGTATTGGATATGTTTCCATTATTTGGTTGAGGCCATGCTGTTAGGAATACTCTTACATATTTTTTTTAGTGTGCTCCTATATGCATTTCGTTGGTGGTTCTCGTGGGCCTAATAATTCACTGGTAAGGTTTTCACTTCTGTTTTAAACTAAGGCAAGTGTGAAAGGAAAGAATGCTTCCAGGAAGCATGGCTTCAATGAATGAGACAGATGTTATTTATAGGTACTTTGGGCTCTGTGTGTTGTATATATGTTTCTGTGACACACAAGTGTGGGTGTGTGACATGTGGAGCCAGTGGTCAACTCTGTGTGTCTCCCCTGACCCCTTTTCATTCTGTTTTTGAGACAATCTCTCATGGGACCTGGGCTCATAGAGTTGGATAGGCTAGCTGGGCAATGAGCTTTAGGAATCTGTTGCTCTCAGCCCTGGGTCAAAGATACATACCACATGAGGCTTTTTACATGGGTACTTGTACTTGCGAGGCAGACATTGTATCAGCTGAGCCATCTCTTGAGCCTCAAATTTGGGCTTATTACAACATGAAAAAAAAAGGTAAAGAAGGGGAGCACTCAACTAGCAGGAGTGAGGGACCCCATTTAACAAAAGGAATTTGGATTGCTGCTGCTCGCTGGAATAAATAAGTATTTGGAATGTATGATATTTCACCAAGATTCCTCTTTGTCTTCTTTGGGCCAAGCCCACTGACCACTGATATATTGGTGGGGGGATATGGGGTAATGTCTTTAAGGGCCGCAACTAGGACCCAGATAGTACAGCAATGTACGTTTTAGTCACCCTACCTTAGGATTCTATTCAGCTTAGTTGGCAGAATGAGAGGATACTGGCATATGCATCTATGCTTCATCTATAAAGTGACAGTCAGGGACATAAAGACAAACCATCTCAAAAAATAAAGAAAAAAGAAAGAAAACCAAGATTTTATTTTATTTTTTTCTCTACCACATGTGAGGCTAGATAGACTAAGGTCA